CCGTAATAATTAATATACAGCACTCCTTCTAGTTAAGTACTAATGCAAGTTACAACGTATTAAAAAGTTCAAAACAAACTTTTTATATGTTTGAAATTAAAATGAAATGGGGTAAAACTAATACGGTGGCGTTAAAATTTTCCTTGGACCAAACCTACAGTTCCAAAACTAAACTTAGGTTTATTAAACTGATTAAATAAAATAAAATAAAAACTATGCAAAACTATAATACAGTCAACAGCACTCTACGGACCTGAAACATATTGACGGAGAATAACGAAAAGAAAATTATTGTTTTTGAAAACAAAATATTGAAGAACTATCTACGGCCCATCAACGAAAATTGGGGGTAGAGGATCAGAACAAACAGAGAATTGAGGGAAATCTATACAGAATCAGACATAATAGCAAAAAATAAAAAGCAGAACTGAGATGGGCTGGTCATGTGAAGAGAAGAGAAGAAGATTATGCGCTAAGAATGGTGTCTGAAAATCTCCCTCAGGGAAGACGATCTCGGCTAAGATGGCAGGACCAGGTGCGAAGAGACATAGGGGAGCTAAGAGCAGAGGCAGGATGGATGGAAGAAAGAGAGAGGTGGTGGCTTGTTGTTGGTGAGTGGTCACATAAAAAAGTAAATAAGTAAATAAATAAAATGGAGGGTAGTCCTCGAATGGAAGAGGGGTGGTAAATCAAAACAATGCTGTTATAGAATAAATATAATTAGATATAATAATTATTAATACTTAATTATGTTAACGGTAATTTATTAGTGTCGACGTATAGAAAACAATTATTAATATTAAACACAGAATGTTAGAAACATTATTAGAGATAGTACTAAATCTCAACACAATGCGCTTCAACGTTACAATAAAATTTCAGAAAAAACGTTAAATGATTTTTTTTACTAATGACGTGAGATTAGTAGTTATGAGACTTTATGTTTTTTGTGCAATATGCTGCAACGCTACTTAAAAATGCTACAACAACTTGTACGGTTTTTAAAAAGTTATTGGCTCGAGATGAATGGCTTCATAACGAACTGTTATTTATTACTCATACACAGTTATGACGTAGTAAACCATTGGTTTACAGCTCTGCAGATTGCGTTTCTGCTACAATCTCCAAAGAACTTTTAACTAACACATCTTACAATCAATGTTCTACTAATACACTTTACCCATTATGTAGTCTATAATGATATTCCTTCATTACATTGGGTGATGATAAAATGATAAGAGTTATAAATATTATAAATGGATTGTTTGTTAACTTTCACAAATAAATGTGATGTTATTGATACTTTCAAAATACGTTGTGTAAATTTTAACCTTAAAATTATTGTTGACACATTCACAGGAAGTACAATAATTATTGTTGATCTCCATAAAATACCATAAAATTTTTTATAAATGTTTTTTTTTCAGTTAACATCTTTGCTCTCTCCTGTGTACTGTGAAATGGATTAAAATATAATAATATAAAACCTTATGAATTATTAACATTAGTGGCATTTTTTGCCAAGATAATTAATTAACGTGTTTTTTGTAATGTACGAATTAATTATATTATTATACAATAGGAATGTTTTAATCGTTAGCATTTATTTTTTCGAATTGATGAGATAAGGGAAGGAACAATTCCGTTCTGGGTAGATGATATTTCGAGCACAATCGGGGGATATGACCACTGGCCGTGCGATTGGTCTGATAAGATCACTTCCATGACCGTTCACTTGGCTGCACTTTTTAATTGGTTCTACTCAAAGTTGTATTGTATGGTTGATATAGATATAGATATTGAAGTCTGTATAACGTAGGATGGTTCACAGACCCACCAGGTACCTGAGTCGGTCCTTTCCTCATCTCCCTTCGGCACTCGCAGCCGTTTCCTTGAATCGAAACACATCGTGTTTTATCAATCCTCTTAGAATGTTATTTCTCGTATATTATGTTTATACGGAGGTATTATGGGAAGGAAAGAGAAATCAGTAATTGTATTGGAAGTGCTAGTTGGCTACTGTTGCTACTTGTCTGTGCACCGCCCTACGTATACATACTGTTGGGGGGTGTATTCTATGACCCTAACTAAAGCAAACCATATCGTTTTTAAAATTACATAGTAACGATAGGCTTTTCCAGTAAATGTATATAGGTTCCCTTCATTATTAATTGTTTTAAAAAAATTGTTCATGGTTTATAACCAAATAAATAGATTAAATGATATTTTTGGTAATAGAATGAATATTCTAAGGAAATGTTTAGAGTTGAAAAAAGACTTAATCTAAAATACAAATATAAAAGTGTTGAATATATTGTTCTGGATAAATATTAGGATGTAAGATTTCAATCTTGATTAACTAGATGGCGCTGGTGAATACAGAACAACAATCAACTGAAGAGCTTTCGTCTCATGTTTCATTGATGACAAAGTTCTTATCTTCTCTCAACGCAGTGCAATATTTAATCTGTTGAACATCGTTGATAACTCAGTAGTTAGGTTCATATTTTGACTGAATATTATATTAATGTATAAGGATTAATAAACATGATAAAGTGCATAACCGAGCAAGATCAATAATAATAAATACAAGATAATTTGAAGAGGTTATTAAAAGTATGTTTACTTTAAAAAATCAAAATTCCCAATTTGTATTACAGCTATCGTATAGAGATAAAAAACAAACATGAAAAAATATAAGTGTTATTGTAAAATTACAGCTAAAGGAGAAAATTTCTAAAACTGTACATTTAATATTCTCATATTATTCTTCGGGAGGAAAAGTAAACTGTTGCAGTTTGCTTGTTTATTGATATACCTGAGCCTAAGCATTTGTTTAATATTATTAACTGGATCACAACCCTAATTGCTTGTAAGAAAAAAAAACTCTAAAACAAACAGATTAGTTTAAAATGTGATTATTTTTAAAACAAATTGTGTGACTAAGGCAATATCTAGATACGGAAAATGTTCGTTTTAATCCAAAAGCTATTGGACCCTCCATACACAAAGGTCTATTGTATGAGCTAATAGGATGGTCGTTCTTGTATATAAATCAGCCATTGTATGTTAGACCTGCAAGCGAAAGGTTGTATTAGCCAGGCTTGTTTGTGAGGAACTAAAACTATATCACTGTATAGTCCGGCCAGTTTCTGGATCATAAAATGAAATTTATTTATTGCTTATTAATATGAAAATACCTGCATAGCAATCGTCAAATAAAATAAAGTTACTTATGTCATACAAAGCAAACTATGCATAAACTATTCACCAACATAAAATTATTGCTATTATCTTTGCGTAGTATTGATAATCCTGTTGTAATGTTCAACCATTTATATTTATTTATAATTAGTTTTTAGATTAACTTTGTAATGACATATTCGAAAACATTGGTCATACAAACTCAGTTCTGAAAGGAAACATAATAACAATTAATTAGGACACGGTTAACAATCTATGGGTTTTGAACCTGTTACTAAGGAGTATAAAATAATACTACAGTACTATAGTGCGGTAATTAAAGTTAACCTTTATGTTTTTCCCAGCAGATGGTCAGGGTGGTGTTTACCCTTTGCCACACCAATGTTTTAGCTGTAAGCCCGGGGCTTGGTGAAACACCATTATGCAGAACAGAGCCTCTATTTACAGGTCAATATTGATATTGTGTTGTGGCTCTATTGTCCACACAACATTCTGCTCATGTTATCACTTATTATTCTCTTTCATCTTGCTTTCATTGGATGCAAAATACCAATAGAAATACACCGTTTGTATTTATGTTCCAATAATCCTACACACAACACGACAGGATGTGTACACAAAATAGGTTCTTTAATACTGGAATAGGATTAAGTTACTGAAATTATTTGTTGCAGTTCTTATATAAGCCTAAACCGTACAAGGATGAAGGAGTCTAAAACTTTGTTGATTTTGGAGACATGATATTTATTGATCTGAGAGACACATGGGCAAAGCCAAACTTATATTAAAAGAAAAATCATTATGATCTTGAATTACCATAAAGCTAAAACATAAAATAGATTTCATTAAAACCTTCTTCTACGCTTTACGTATTTTCTTGACGTATAAAATGTTTAAAAATTTTAAAAAATAAAGTTAGCAAGTTTATTGTTTACTGATTTATTTTACATTATTCTTTTTTGAAGAGTAATCTATTTACTTCTTCCTAACTTCAAACAGATAAAGTTTACTCAAATTCAAATGAAAGTCTGAAAATATTGTTATACCAAAATGCTCTTCTAGGTGTGTAGACTTGCAAACTATACATTTTTGAAATCCCCTTGGGCTCTGCCCCTATTGGCTTTTAAAGTTCCCATGTTATCCTTATGGAAGAACACATCTGTTTACATTATGATCAGCTGGATAATTTAATTGCTGTTTAGTTGCAATTTAAGGAAACGTGTGCTACAAACATTTACTGACTTCGTTGAAATGAAATATTTACTATTTGAATTTAGGTTGGCGTAAATATTACAATGGAAAAAAGCTAGAAAACCCGGACAATTTTATATACTAAAAAAACTGAATTAATACTGTGCTGCATTTTTTGAGCAATCATTGAAAGAGCTGATTTGCAAACTATGGAAACATAGGAAAGTCATAGAACACCACCAATTAGAAGAAATAGAAATACTGTTTTTTTTTTATTATTTATAATCGTTATTATGGACAGCCTAATGCGGTTATGAGTGGGAAACATATGTCGAAAACACTAAAAAAACAAGATCAGCTTTTGAAAAATGACAAGATATTTACAAGAAATGTTGATTATATCGAACTGTTATGTACATCGTGAGTATTTCCATAATCTTTGAGTCGACTCTTTTAAAGTCATCGGAAATTATGACTGTTAATTGTTTTAAAATAACTCCTGTAATACTTCGCAATTCCTTGAATTCGAGCAACAGGTACACTAGTAAGGATTTATTTTAACAACTGTAATTACAAAATTGGCAAGATATTTATACTATAATTTACATTCACCTAGGTATTCACTGAAGGTCTTGAGCACCTGAGTAGTGATATCAACTTTACAGGAAACATCATGCATCTATGGTTAAGTCATCTGTCATCACGAACATTGTGAAAGCAATTTTAGGTAAATTTGACTTATTTCTACAGGTGCTTGAAAGCTTTTTATTCAGATAGGTTGATAATTGGTATGATGTCTTAATGATTAGGATACTGTATGGTCGTCAAAATTTGCATCAACCTTTTGGGTTAAGAAATATTAAAATGTAAAGAAACGTAAGGATCCTGATGTTTATAGGATGGCAAGTATTGCTCAAACTGCCATTCTATGACTTATATTGGCATCCCGTACTACTCGGTGAATTTAAAGAATGGGTCACAAGTTCACAAAAGACTTGTTCCATCGTTGACGACGGTGTACTTTTGTGTGTTTGGCGAGATGGTCAGATCTGGCAAAGCGTTTGCCACACAGGGCGCAGGGGTACGGCTTGTCGCCGCTGTGAGAGCGTCGGTGTCGCGCCAACTCGTCAGATCGTGAGAAGCGCCAGGGACAGTCGCCCCAGCAGCACCTATAGGGCTTCTCACCAGTGTGCCGGCGCAGGTGGGCCTTCAGGTGGGACGACTTGGCGTACACCTTACCACATCCGGGCCACTCACAGACAAAACCCTGGAACAATGCCACACTACCACTACTAAACAGTAATTGAACTACAGTGTAGATACAAGTCTTGACTTTTCATACCTGTTGGAGAGTAATTGTATTTGTTTCGTCTATTGTGTATCTTTAAATGTTTAAATTTATGTTGTTAGAAGATAGTTACGTTATCCAAATTTCCAAATAACCACCCATTCATTCAGCTAGGGCAATTAGTCGGCTTCTTAACAGAGCAGTTGAGACCGTCCTTCTGCGTAAGGAACAAATACGGTTAAGAACTAACCCATCACTAACTAATCACTTTATAGGACGTGTGAGGTGGACCCCTCCTTGCTCCTCGTATTTCATTAGTTTTAGTTCAGATAGTCAGTTTCGGTTTGGCAAGCAATTCATTCACAGTTCACTCATTAATTCACTATACAGTCCACTCGTAACAAATTCATGTCCAGTGTAAATAAACAGTTCTTATTTAAAATACATAAAAGTGTTGTTTTCATATGCTATAACATTGGCGTACCATCATACGCCGCGACAATACCATTAGACCATTAGACACAACCTCTACAGAATGCACCGGACGGAACTGACAATAAAATTGTCTTCAGTTGATCCATAAGTATAAGAAAACTACTAAGGGAGTATGTTTTATCTATGGCTGTGTACTATAAAACATTTTTTCATGGCACAACTACCAGTCCAAGTTTCAACTTTATTGGGATTTGCATTACAGTAACGTTATTAGAATAATTTCTCTGGTCCCTCTTTCTCTGTCGTTTTGTTGTTAAGTAAAACAATATGATTGTCTACAGTATATTGTTTAAAGATATTAAAGATATTATTGTTGACATTATACAGGGTGGGGCAGGGAAATATCCCTACTTTTAAGATGGCACTGTGAGTAGTGAGGTGGTACTGGAGGAATGGGGTTAGGCTCAAATGACGCTGTTGCTTTGGGATTTTCTAAGAATGTCACTTTCAGTAGTAGACATGGCTTGTTCGAGTGAGCAATGTGCTTTTGCACATGAGATGCATTTTTTTTTTCAAAAGTCTGTCTATTGTTGCTGTGCAGCTAGCGTACACTGCGAACTTGTTATCGGATGGCCTGCCGCAAAGCTGTTACATCTTGGTGTGGGCGAAGGACTTTAGTGTATGTTTAGGTATTGGGAGGGATATTTGGAGCTCAAAGAACCGTCCAAACTCCCGAAAACGTTTTACCTTATCAGAAGATCGATTTTGTAGTCTCCTCGACGTTCTGCTTGTAAGCATGCTTCCGCGCTGGCGTTGCCTAATCTTACTGTGCCTTATTCTCCATGAGGACCTACACCTCCTCAATAATACAAGCTGAGCTAAATGCAACAACAAGCTAAATGCAAATACAAGCTTGTAGTTGCACATGAACTCACACAATGGGACTGGCAACAACGGATGCAAGCATGTGTAATCTTTTTCGGTTCTGTTTAGTGACGAGACACACTTCCATATTTTCATTGTTTTGGAGTGGTAAATAACAGAATATGCTCTATTGGAGTAATGTTTTATGAGGTATTTGTTAGGGTGGTGTTTTTTTCGTTTTGTTTTTTTTTTTTTTTTTGCCTAGGGTAATTCATGAGAAGACCCCTAGATGCCTTGAAGGATGCAATTCATCTTTAGGTTGGCCGCTCTCCACTCCACAACAAATGCTTTACAGAGTTATGATGAACTCAAAAACCATTGTCGCACACTACGGCAGACCAGCTCAGGCAGATCAGGTCAGACCGTTCCGGCAAAATTCGGAAGCCATGTATTCAAATGTAGAGCCGCACACTACGTCAGGTCAGACCGCTCAGTTCAGTCCGGTCAGACCGTCTCCGGCACTTTTCGGTCAGCGAGCGATTTTTGCCGGAGCTGCCGGAGCGAGACGCCGGCCCCCGGTCTGACTTAGGGGAGGTACGATTGAGGCATTAGTTCAAAATTCCTCCGTGAACAGCGCTGTAGTAGAGAGCACTTTGGCAATGAAGCACTAATCGCTAAATAGTTCTGTTCATAAAATAAAATTATAAATGCCTCAAATTCAATTTTATTATTTTTTAATTATAAAATTAAACTATCATAACCTAACCGAACTAACCAAACTTGCTGATGATGAAATAATATAACAAAAGTTAAGTAATAGAAAAAAATAATTCTGTTTAAAAAAAAACCTAGAAATTGCTCAATTAAAATTTTATAATGACTTAATAATAAAATTAAACTGTCATAACCGAACCAAAGAAACCAAACTTGCTGATAATGAAAAAATCTTGGACAAGAAGTTACTGCTACCGGCGGGATACGAACCCGGGACCTTCAGCATATCAGTCCGGCACGCTAGCCACTATACCACCGACGCTGATGGCTACAGGTCGTATTGTTACGCTAATGGCGTTCCCTCAGCTAATAAGAAGCCCACAGCTGTCATCGTAGCCTCTTCTATACCTCCCCTGAGTAAATACCCTCAAGTAGGGTTCACCTATAGATCCTATCGACTAGGATACCGTAATGTGGAATTTAGGTTAGGTATTCTTTTCCTTAGTTGAAAAATTTCTATACATTTTTATTTCTACTTTTAACCTAACAAACCCATATTAGTACATTGATGATGACACAGGTAAGGTAATATTGAAAATACAATCCAATTCCACTCGCGGCCATTTGGATACATAAGAAGATAACTTAGATGCAGTAAAATGGTAAACATATACGTATACAGGGTGATTGATATAAGTGTGCCAGCCGTTTTATTCGAAAACCATAAGAGATATCATAAAAAGTTAAATGGTAAGTGCCTTGGATTTTTTATTTAAAAAATTGTAGGCAAGTCAAAAAAATAATTTTAGCCACCTTTTTTGCAATATGGCCGCCAACTTTGATTTTTCTTATGGAACACCCTGTATTTTATGATGTATTCTGGTAGAAAATGTAATTTTAAGACGATCTTATTCTTGTAATTTTTTTCATAGACCTAACCGTTTCAAAGATAATAATGGTTTAAGTTGTGAAATTTTGAATGGTTTTCAAATAAAACAGCTGGCATGCTTGCTTAGGCCTTTATCGAAACTCTTTCTCATGCAGAAATTTCAAAACTTTAACCATTATTATCTTTGAAACGGTTAGGTCTATAAAAAAAGTTACAAGAATAAAATCGTCTTAAAATTACATTTTCTACCAGAATACATCATAAAATACAGGGTGTTCCTTAAGAAAAATCAAAGTTGGTGGCCATATTGGGAAAATGACGGCTAAAATAATTTTTTTGACTTGCCTACAATTTTTTAAATAAAAAATCCAAGGCACTTACCATTTAACTTTTTATGATATCTCTTATGGTTTTCGAATAAAACGGCTGGCACACTTATATCAATCACCCTGTATGTATATTCTGAAATTAACATTGACAGCTAGACTGAAACCGTCCGTTAGATCAGGCCAACTTCATCTCTGTGTACCGATTTTCAAATAAAGGAACCTAACTTAACACATTCACTAACCAGGTCAGACTAGAGTCCTCACACAGAGGAGTGTGACGGCTGGTAGGCAACGTTTTAACACATTCACTACCAGGTCAGACTAGTCCTCACACAGAGGAGTGTGACGTGACGGCTGGTAGGCAACGTTTTAACACATTCACTACCAGGTCAGACTAGAGTCCTTACACAGAGGAGTGTGACGGCTGGTAGGCAACTTCTCACATTCCTTTTATTATTCCATCCAAACGCTGTATACCATTATGGTCAATGTCACTACATTTGTTAAACAAGAGTTTAATTTAACTTTATTCAGGCCTGACCAGAACATACAGTGTCGAGCGATCAAGTACTTAGTTTCAGCACAAACTATAAAATAAGTATCAATAATTTGTAAATATTTAACTGGCATAACTTAACTTACATAATATTAGTGTAGATATTTTGAGGTAGGTCTAGGCTAGTTTGGTCAAAACGTACTACTATAACCCAGAAAGCCAACCGCATGGTAAAATGCATTAAGTGTTTTGAGAGAGCTTTGCCTGTCAATCCGTAGGCAGCGCCACCAGCGTTGCTATGCTATTGCTAAAGCTCTCTCAAACCGCTTAATGCTTTTTACCATTCGGTTGGCATTCTGGGTTATAGTAGTACGTTTTCTGTGGTTTGGTATACGCCTAATAATCTATTAATATTCAAGTTTAATTTACAAATTATGTCTCTAGCTTTAAAGTATGTTACTTTAAAGTTTTTATTGAGCCCTAGATCCATAATTCTTTATTGTGATATCACAGATATAGTACTTTAATGGTGATATAGCTGACTCAGAACATGGTATGGTGATCTAAAATGCAGTAAGATTCTTTCAAACCAAAAGGCAGCAATTTAGGATAGTAAGTCAATATTAAAATTACCGTGAAGTGAGGGGGAGGACTTGCACATGAGATCCTAAAATAATAAACAAACATATGAGCAAGAACCAGAAAGTATACTAAAGTAAAAACAAAGCGCAGACTAGTTGGTAAAAGTAAAGGAACAACCGTGCTATATTCAATTCATTGTACTGTGTGACTGTATACACGTTGTAACAGATAAATCTGATATCTGATATATGTCACAGTTCCACGGAACGGTTTACTCGCGCATGCGCAGTATGAGAGGAGTAATCCGCGATTGAAACGGATGTGAGCTGAGCGGACTGACCGGACGACGACCTTCTCACCGCAGTATTTCACCTTCCTTTTTTTGAACTTTTGGAACAGTTACACGGAACTGTTTGGAATAGATTTGTTAAAACCGTTACATTACAAACAAAGAGTTCCATTCCATTTCCTTTTTAGGCGTTCATTTTGTTTTTCGCGGATCTCTGTCTTTAACCTCCATTTTGTCAAGTGATTGGAAACTTTATCTCAAATCGATGGTGTTATTTCAAGTTAAAGAGTTACTGGATCAGTATGTCTGATATTAATACAAAAAAGTTTGAATGTTCATTTTGTGACAAACACTTTTGCTAGTAAATTTAATTTAACGCGCCATACACGTAATGTGCATGATAGTTGTTGTAGTGAACAATCTGACTGTTCAAACAACCCGAAAAGGCTTATTTGCCCAAAGGCCCAGAGGGTGATTGCTCTCATCAATTTTCGTGGTTTGAAAACTTGATCCAGCATCTGGAAGAAGCCCATGCCATTGAAATAATAGTTGGGGAGCTGAATTTTGAAACAGAAGAAGGTAAGTTAAATTTATTATAATTATGAACTTCACAATACTGTATCCAAAATATAACTATAAATATAATAATAAAACTTTTGATTTTAATTTGTATGTGCTTTTTCATTGTGACTCCTGCTCCATCAACAATACCTTATACCTTATAACCTTTCTCATTGTTAGCAAATTTAACAAAACTGTGCAATTTCTTTGAATAGTTTTCCTTAATATGCTATTATATCATTGTCTTTTAAGAATAAGCCGGTTTTCGTGATGTAATGTAAGAATAATTAAATAAACGAAACCAGTTAACTAACTTACAGGTTATGTCCATGTCTATAAAAGACTTGTTATTATTATGAGGAGGAGGAAAAAAGGTATATCATAATAATTAAATTTTTATGCAGGAAAAATAATAAAGTTGAGAAGGAACGGAGCTATTTGTAATATAACGGTTTCGCCTAACCTATTCTATACTTTTTGTCACAGTTGTATCATAGATTAAACAAGTATGTTTAATCTATGGTTGTATTGAACATTATCCCAAACAGTTCCGTGTAACTGTTCCAAAGGTTCTAAAAAAAAGGGAGGTGAAATACTGCGGTGAGAAGGTCGTACCGGACGTAGTGTGTGGGAAAACTGCCGGACCTGAGCGGTCTGACCTGATCTGCCTGAGCTGGTCTGCCGTAGTGTGCGACAAGCCTAATACAGCAGTGTATAGGGACACCACATGCAGGATACGCTGTTTAAAATCAAGTTAAGTTATATTAAAATAAACTCCCAGATGTAACCTTTTAATCCCAATATTATGATTGGTTGTAATATTTTTTGTTGTCTTTTAATGTACCTTCAAAATTAGGGATACTTCACTGCCCCACCCCTAATACGGTTAGTAAGAAATTAAGTTTCCACTATGATTTACCAGGAATCTGATCTTTGAAAAATGTTGTGTTTTACTAATGTTATAAATCGCGTCCGCAACAACCTCTTAGATAATAATAACACTTCATTTTTCAGTTAACCCACATCCAAGGGATTCTCTTGTCTGTGATTAAACTGAGAAATTAAACGAAGCTTGATTGCATAGTTTTTCAAACATATGCTTACTAACTTTATCTTCTCCGCAGTGATCAATTTGTAGGTGCACAGCTGGATGTTGTAAAGAAGAGTGACAAAAGCTCTCTACGTCAAGCACTGGTAGTGGTGGCTGGTACTGCAGACGTACTGAACTTTCTTGCAAGACTCTATAACAAAATATTGTGGTTAAGAACTTAATTATAGAGTCAAACGCTAAATACCCCAGTAAAACCCCCATTTGACTTAGTGTTATGAAAAGAAATGTTATATGGTTTTATTCCACTTAAAAATCTGCTACATTTTAGATTAAAAAATTGATCAACTTTCATAAGTTCCATATTAACCCGAAAGGTGTAAAATAAATTTTTCCCAAGTCGCTGATACCACGTTTGGTCCAAAACTTCTCCTTTGATTAAAAATCTAAATCATAATAATTTCCAATATTACTAGTTATCGCTTTTATTTCAATTAAAATATGCTTGTGTATTTTAGAAAGAGATCTTACATTTAAGATGAGTTAAAAACAAACATAATAGTAGGGTAATTAAGGTTCAACACTAAACTATTACAGTAGAACCCCGGTTAACCCAAATAAAGGAGGGAGAGCCGTTTCGGATAACCAATTTTTCTGTTAACCCATCATATGCTAAAAATAACCAACGTATTCCCACAGTGTGTAGAAAAGATTAATTTAAGACAATGTCTATATAATTCAGTGTTTTATTTCAGCTACAAAAGTGTAACAATTTACAATGGGTTAGAAAATTATTTAAACTAAACGACTTAAGTTAATAAAGCATTTTATAGCCCTGTATGCTTTGGAACCATTTTGGTTAACCCTTTGTTTCGTTTAACCTGAATTCGGTTAACAGGGGTTCTACTGTAAAATTGAAAATACAAATTCAATGTCTGAAAAATGTGCACAAAAAATCATTATTAATATAAAATTCTTATTTTTTAGTTTGTTGGAAAATGATTACATTTTCGTAAAACATAAAAGTTGTTTGTGTATTTTTTTTACTAATAGGAATCATTGTCTTTTTTCCTTCCACCATGAATAGGAATAGTTTTAATCTACTTAGAGCTGGTATAATCTTGCGGATGCTCAAATTACCTGTGGCAGTGGTCTGTACAGAACGGTGTAACCTCAGGAAGGCATTGGCAGTCGAGTGTAAGCGAGCTCATTGTCTGCTCCACACTCTGGGTCAGCAGCTCCTCAAGCTCCTCGTCGAGCTTTCCGCAGCTCGGTAGCGAGAGAGTGAGCTCAGGACCAAGCGAGAGTTCTTCTATTAGTTGCATCTTTTAAAGATATAAAACATATTAAGATAATAGATAATTAAGAGTGTGTATGTTAAGGCGAAGATATTAGATAGGCCTAACCAGTGCCGGATTTACCACTAGGCCGTTGTCTAGGACCGCAAGCAAAATGAGGCCGCAGCGTTTTGTACAAAAACATTTTTTTTATTTTTTTTTTTTTTTAGAACAGAATGGAATGGAATTTTTCAAAATCAATAACTTGCCACGATTGCAGCCGCAATGGGTAATGATGATGTAAGCATGATATTAGGAGATGTTAACGATTTCACCACGATAGCGGGAATTACCAACTTAGGGGCGAGTGCTGCTCATGTTAATTTGGCCGATTTAATTTAAGTTCTCATAAGGTTGAATGACCAATCAATTATAAACTTACATCAAGTCTATTTTATTTCTGTCTTCTCATCGTTTTACAACTTTTATCACTTAAGTTTTAAAATAGGTACTGGTACTGTACCTTTAATTTTACAGAATAATTCAAAGTTCAAACATAATTACTATAGTTCGGCCGCTTAGAAAACGACCTGCGCGCTAATGCTAAACCAATGCTGGAGAAGGTCGCTTTCTAAGCGGCCGAACTATAGTTACACTTTCACTACCTGTGGCTGCTTATAAGACATTTAATTTTTTTGTTGAAATATTCATTCTTCTTTTTTTTAAGTGTGTTTTAGAAATCATTCATAAAAATAATTTCTGAATTAAATTATAAAGCCTGACAAGGAGAGGATAGAATTAGTTGGTAACATTATTTGTAAATAACACAAACAATAAATTGTTCTCTGGGTCAGAAAACTTTGTATTTTGGAGGAGGAATAATTTAATAAATAATATTTTAAATTGAAATGGTATAAGAAAGTTTGTTCATTATAGTTGCAAATCAACTTTTTTCCTGTGACAATTCAGAAGCTGGTCTTATTGCATAATGCATTGCTTTCATAAATACTAATCAGGATTAGCCCTCTCTGCAGTGTCGTGGGATTATTAAAGTATAACACAGTTTGTTACGAACCAAGACACATCGCAACTTACATTATTCATCAGTTTCCTAAAACTTACCAAAACAGATTTACTTTAGCCTCTCCACGCACCTTATCATGAGAAAGATTGCTTCCGCTTCCCTTATTGGTATTCCAATCTAAATTGGATTCCCAAACATTTTTCACTTCTGACCTTTGCTGATGGGGAAATCTGATCCAATCAGAGTTTTTTTTATTAAATCTAGACAGGATACAATAAGGATCTAGACAGTTAAAGTTAAAGTTAAGTGTACAAGTTAAAGTAGTTTAAATGTATCTGATTTAAAACGTTTATAATGTCCACCTACAAGAATTGTGATTTTTAAAGATGTTATACAAATATAGTTTTGTTCGCTCAGTTTATTCAAGGGGCACATGTGCATTATTGGAACTAACGACTCTAGACAATTAAATTGAAGCTATGCTGTAGGTTGTGAGTAAAGGTAGGTGTTAGAAAATGTCCCTTTAAAGTTGTTTCATAAAGTTAGTTATTCATAAGTTGTTTTGTAAAGTTGGTACATTTAAACAAGTCACATGTTAAAATGCATATCTTTATTTTGATAATATTAGTATTCTTGTAAACATGAGTTTTAATTTAATTAAGAAAATAAAAAGCTTGTGTTACTTTAAAAGTGGTTTTAATATTTATTTGAGCTATTTAGGGTATGTAGACCATAAAACCACCGGTACCCTTTTGGTACCCTTGGGCAATAGCCGCCATCTTGGAAAATGGTGGAAAACGTAATTTACAGTGTAAGCTTTTACTTAAAACTATCTTATGAAAATACCATGCTACCTACAGCAGTGCAAACGCTTCTAAAATACCGGTACTTACGGTGAAATTCCATACAAGAAAATATCATATTTTAAATATATGTTGTGTGCTTTAAGGCCAGTATTTCGTTTTAAAGTTAGATAAAAATATTAAGGTTAATAATTAAGAAAAAAATATGTTCTACACTATAAAGTTGTAGACATTGAAATTTTGCATCCAATACACCTATCTTAGTTGGATCGAGGATAACGTCACAACAAAGCGTAAAAAAACACTTTTATTATTTTTTTCTGTCATAAAGAGGGTTATCTAATAAATGAAAATACTTTATACTAGGTGAATCCGGTCGAAATCGACGGTTACTCTTGCGGTTTTACGTAAATTCAGATAACTGTGATGGAAAGAGTGAAGTTATTAAAATCGATAAGCCAACGGCTTTCATTTACGCTAATTAATTCAAATCTTAGGATGTTTAAGCTAGTTATGGGACCCCCAAAAAAGAGTAATTTTAATTATTAAAAAAAGTCTAATTAAAGCCCCGTATCTTTAGTGATATATATGTTATGTTTTATGTATTGATAAGAAAACAGTCGGTGACGTACTGGCTTTCTTGGAACATAATATTGATTATTGTATTTATTTGTAAAAATCATCAATCTATAAAAAAAATATTTTTTTGTAATAGTTGTAATCTGTAATTTTTGAATTTTGAATTCATTAGGACGAGTATACCTTTTTTTTATTTTATTTTTTTTATTTTTTTTTAAAAGAGGTTGGCGGCCTCTTTTAACCTTGCATTTGCCCGTCCACATAGACTAAGCGCCCGTGCGTGGATCGTTTGCAGCAAAGCAAGGAGTGAGCCGGTACAGTACAAAGGTGAACTGTACTGATAAAATGTTATCGGCAGTGACCAGGATCCGAACCCACGACATCGCTGCCTTGGGCCCGAAGTCCGCGACGCTACCGACTGAGCCACCGACTCACTAACATTATTACCTGTTGCGTTAGTACCTGTTGCTCGAATTCGAGCAATTGCGAAGCATTACAGGCGACTCAAAGATTATGGAAATACTCACAATCTACACAACAGTTAGATATAATCAAAATCTTTTGTAAATATCTTATCTTTTTTCAAAAAGCTGATCTTGTTTTTTTAGTGTTTTCGACAAATTTTTCCCTCTCATAGCCGCATTAGGTTGTCTATGATAATGATTATAAATGAAAAAAAAACATTATTTCTATTTCTTCTACTTGGTTGTGTTCTATGAATTTTTCTATGTTTCCATTGTTTGCAGATCGGTTATTTCAATGATTGCTCAAGAAATGTATAACAGTGTTAATTCAGTTTTATTTTTAGCCTATATCAAATTGTCCAGGATTTCTCACCCTGTTCCATTCTAATAATTACACCAACCCAAGTTTCTTCTACAGATGCAATATGCCAAAGAATATCACCTACGTACAATCTTCAAAGAAGCGGTAAAAAAGGCAGAAACCAACCCATACAATAGATATAAGTTAACTCCAAAAGAAATAATTTTAAGAGCTACTGTGATATTAGGATTTTCCACAGATTTGGTAATAGAACATTATATTGCAAAACATGACACGATGCAGAAGAAAATCCATTTTAAAATGAGAAAAACCCATTGCAAATACTGTACTTTATTTTGACAAATTCAATAAATCACAATTTAAATATTAACAGCTGTTTCATTAAAAAGTAGTGTAGAATTATGCATATGGTCGTAATGTAAACAAATCTGAAGAGGCAACTTTAAAGGCTTCTGGGGCAGAGCCCCGAGGGAATTTACCTCGTTCCTCTTTTGATGGCTCATCTACAGACCAAGACCTTTCTTTAGCGACCCCTACCAAGTTTCTACGCCCAGCCGTTCTCTCAAATTAGCTGTTACAAAACCCCCGTTTTCCTATAAGACTAACATGAAATGGCAATTCAAAGGCCACTGGGGCAAAGCCCCAAGGGAATTCACGATGTTTCTCTTTTGATGGCTCATCTACAGACCAAGACTTTTCTTTAGACAACTCTACCGAGTTTCTACGCCCAGCCGTTCTCTCAAAATAGCTGTGAAAAACAACAACAAAGAAAAACAGTTTCAAATTAATATATAGATATTACAAAATTACGTGTGTATGGAGGTACAACCAAACAAAACCTTTGTGAAATTTTAATTAGTCAAAAAAGAGCTATAAGAACCATGTTAAATCTCGAGTTTGATGAATCCGTAAAGGAGCATTTTATTAACCAAAATATATTAACCATCTTTAGTTTGTTTATCCTGGAGTGTATTATGTATGTCAGAAAATATCAAGCTAATTTTACAACACATGAAGATATACATAACTACAATACCAGAAATAAAAAAAAAATAATCTTACTGTTTCACAATTCTGAGCTACCGTATTTAAAAAGAAACCATCCTATGCCGGTTCTGTATTTTTTTAACATATTCCAAAATAAATATTGAATTTAAAAAATCAAAACAAGTTCAAAAGTGAACTCAAAATGTTTTTAATCAGAAATGCATTTTACTCTTTTGAAGAGTTGTACGATTTAACTTACGTCGATGCTGATGCTACATAACTGTCAATTTCATAACTGAACAATATTGAATGCAATGTACTGAGTTAGATTAAGGAACTGTGACGCTATTTTATTGTACCGGTACTGCCTTACATGAAACAAATAAAGTTTTGAATTTTAATTGAATTTTAATGTTAAATGATTTCTAAACCATTACTACCTTATCATTAGAATGGAAAGAATTTATGTGTGTACTTAGGTAATAAGTCTTCTCAATTAAAGGACTACAATAACTTCAGGAGGACTTCAAAAACCTAATAGAATCTACTTCATAGGAATACTTAAATAGGTACCTATTCTTCTAGAGGTACTTGCCAAAAAGTTTAGTTAATTGTCTCAAAACACCCCGAAATCAAAATGTCAGGTCCCTTTGTAAACTTTCAATGTCAACTACCTACTACTAGTGTTAGTTTGCTGCTACTCACCATGTTGCTGTCTGATGGACTCTGACCCGTGCCATCCAGGGTCTAGGTTCCCCAGGGACTCAGGGGCAATGTGGGACTCCTGGTTTCTGCTATCTACTAATTACACTTAACAGATAATATTACAGCTGATCCAAACCAACCTTCTCCATGCCCCAAGGGATCACAAGTGATAAATGCTGAACAGACATCAGGTCTGTTGTGATACTGGCATTTCATTATAGCTTTTTTTTGCCAATGCCTTAAAAGTATGTATGTTAGATATAAGTGTTCTCCACAAAATATGAACATTTCCAATGGTAAAATATGCCCGCCGCAGCAAACCTGCAGACTATATTCCATTTACCTGGATGGATTTCTACTAAAACATTCCCTTAAAATTGTTTGATTTATTTCCCATTTAAAATAACATTGATTTTAAATGAGCACTTAGGTTTGCTGCTACATAGAAGGTATTGAGGTGTGTTTTTTATTAAAATGTTGATAGCTTAGTATGAAATAAACGAAATTTCCAAATTTGATTAAAATATATCCATAAATAAGCAAACAACAACCGTTTATTTTTTCTCCATACAAATAACATGGGAATTTTAAATTTGCAATAGAAAATTATCTAATTTTCGATGAAATTTAATGAAAACGTATAAACCTACATTCATCCAAAAGAGTTAGCGAACCAGCATGAATCTAGCAAAAATGAATAAATAGGTTGGATAGGGATTTTCATGAAATTTTGTAGAAATATGTAAACCTAAGTTTATTTGAGTTTACACGAACCAGCATAATCAGATTGTGGGAACAGGGGTTTATGGGGGTTTTATAGGGTAAAAATGGGGTTTTTACCATTTTTTATTCTAAAAAACGATAAAATTTCACAATTTCTTTCCAAACTATTATTTTTGTAGAGCAACACTTTGAGGTCGAATTTTTTTCCCATTTTACACCGAGTATAGTTTGTCATTTGAGCAGTCGGGGAAAATGACAACCGGCAACTTATAATCGCCATTCGACTGCAAAATTAAACTTTTTTGATTTTGTTGTGTTGGTTGTTATTTTTGAGCAGTCGGGAAAATGGTGGGCGGCGACCAATACTCGCCACTCGACCGCAAAGGGTAAAAAAAAATAGTTTTGTATATTGAAGCATTGTTGTAAGCCTAAGGGTTACAGAGATAACTCTAAAAATTGTAAATTTAAAATTCTTATTCTTATGGAGAAAATATAAACGGTTGTAGTTTGCTTGCTATTAATATATTTTAATCAAATTTGTAAATTTTGTTTATTTCATACTAAGCTATCAACATTTCAATAAAAAAATGTCTGCAATAAACCTTCAAAAACATTATGCCATGCAATAGCATAGCAACGCTG